CCCTGATGGGGTAATATTGACTGGCTTGGAAATTAAGTTAAAATTACCATATACAAGACTCTGTAGACTCTGAAACATAAAGAAAAAACATAAATAGGCTGTCAAACATAAAATATGTTATAAACTTCCAAGCTGGTCTATGTTACCCCGTCAGGGCTGACATTAGGTGGTCTAAGTTACCCCATTTAGGGGCGGTGCCCCCCATTTGCAAACTATGACACTTTCCTAAAATTTGTCATTTGCATATGTAACTAGAAGAGTTCTACTACAATGCATCAAAACCTGGAGTTATTAAACAAAAAAATAAAAAAATTGGAGGGGGTACTCTGACAGGCTTTAAATAATAGCTTTTTTTCATGGGTCACATTTTTAATTTTTTGACCTATTAGATATGCAAACTTTTCAAATCTTTCTATTGTGTTATGTGGCCTCAGTATTAAGCCTTTAATGCGTATTGACAAAATTTTTCTATGTCAAATAGTTTTTGAGTTGTGGAGGTTTTTGTTAAAAAAACAAGAAGTGGTCTAAGTTACCCCGCCAGTCTAAGTTACCCCATTTTACGGTACGCTAACTTGCTCAGTTTCTATTAAGTACCTAATCACTAGGAAGTTGTATGTCTGCACCTTTCACTCAACGAGTCAACAATTTAAATTAAACTTATAAAAAGTATTAGTTTGCTGAAAATTTGTCTCCTAAGCTGACTGCAATGAACTAAACTTCATTAAGTAATTATAACTATGCTGCAAAGCAGTTTTTCATCATGCACACTAAATACGCAATTCAGAGTTCATACGAACAGAACTACATATCACGTTGGCTAACGAGCTACTGAATAAAATAGGTACCTAGCTTCTTTCCCGCTGCCGGTGCATAATCTAGGGGGTTTATCAATCGTATACTTACTTCGTATACGATTGTATACAAATTAACTAATGATTCGTATACTTAGTGCAAGAGAATGAATAATTGTTGTTTCTGATCAAACGAACGAAAACTTTTTCTGTTTCTGATCAAACGAACAAAAACTTCTGATCAAAGAATGAAAACTTCTGATCAAACGAAACTTCTGATCAAACAAACGACAACAAACTTTTTGAAGACAATTCTGAAATTGTAAGTCGTAACGTCTATTGAATTCTAATACGGATCGTTAATTTTAACATCGTATTTCCAAAAATCAATTATTGCATTTCTTTTAATTGAATAACATCCTTTTACATAAAAAAAATGAATTTTTTCTTACAGCTCCTCAGGAATGACGAATGAATGCTCCTCATATTGACAAATGACGATCTTACTCTTATAGCTAAAAATTTTAAATTGAATGATTTTGTCATTTCAAAGACTCCATTAATTACAGAACTTTAGTTTTTGGAAGTGTATTCAAGAAAAGTTTCTGAAATAGTAGAAACATTTCCATTATCATTCTGAAATAGAAGCGTTATTTCCGTTCTTATATATAAACAGGATTAATAAAATACCTATCAAATCCATCCAATGTCATTCAATTTGTGATGTATGAATGACAGTTTTACTTTGATTCCTATGATGCTCATTTTTATCGGTTGAAGCTGTAGATTTAAATTAAATTAAAAAATTAAATAAAATTAAATTTTACTAAATCAAAATTTATTATTTAATAACTAGATGGTACATGCTGTAGAATTAAATTCTATTAAAAAAATGTTGAATTAAAAATCTGATTATATATATTTTTAAAGTAAAAATTAATTTTTATTGAATTAAATTGTATTATTAATGCACTATATGGTACGTGCTCTATGTTTTATATAATGAAATAGTTTCCCATGTTAAACAACGAAAATTTTCTAAAAGACACAAAACGTTCAAAAACGCGGGATGGCAGACGAAATCATTCAGAATTTGAAGTGAAATTATCAAGATAAATTCAACATAATAGGGCAAAAAATTCAAATCTGGAACATATAGATAGGTTTTTATAATTTAAAATAAAACTTTCAATCATTTAAATCTCAGAATGGAATGTGAATCAAGTCTATTGTGAAATCAAACTAGACACAACCAAAACATAAGTGTGTGACACCGTCTTGTGATACGTAAACAGAAAACACGCAGTGAAAGAGTAGCAGTTTATCTCATAACTTTATGTGATATCGAAAACTTTGTGGGTGTTGTCCAATTGTGAGAATTTTACAAAGCTGGATGTGTTTTTTTTTATTTTAGAATGTATTCATTGCAAAAATGTGTCCGCTAGCCTACAGATAAACGACTAGTTAACTTGATTAGTCGTTGGCAACACGGGATTGGATTTCAAACCATGCGCGGTTTTGGAAGCACAGCAGTTTCAAATGAGCTCAGTTCATCAATTTTCATTGCAGTGGAAGGTGGTGTAACACGGTGGTAGGGTTGGTATTTCGATACATTTTCTTCTATTGACATGAGAATATATTACCTATACAGAATTCCACACTGCAGTACTACCTTCTTTCTTCATGTTTTTCGTTAAGTTGGTAATCCTGATCATAATGGTAGGAGTTTCCATGTCTCAGCTTATTGCATCAGTGGTCAGTTTTGTGTTTGTTGATTTAATCATAGGCAGTTTTTCATGTATTTGTGAGTGAGTGTTCATAGCGAAAATGTAATTCTTTGCAATTTCCATCAATAATGACATGACTACACTATTGTATTGAAATAAGAGTTGTAGGATTACGTAAGTGATAAACTGTTTGTGTAGAAAGAATATTATGGTTTGAGACTTTTAAACATCTGTGAATATATTAGGAATCCTTTAAGTATACTTGTATTTGCTGATTAATAGATGATTAAGTTAAGAGATGGTTTTAGACACATAAAAACTAATTCCGACACAGCTTGGAATTAGACTCACACAGCTCGTTCCAAGCTGTGTGCAAAAATTAAAATTTCTTAATTAAAAACCTAATAGCTCCTGATTAAAAGCCTAATTAAGTAATTAAGTAGTGTTCATTGTTCAATACTCAATAATGTTCTAAACCAAGCTGTGTTATATTCCAATACAGCTCACACAGCGATCAGAATTCAAACACAAGAGTGTTAGCATTACAAATTAGTATAGTTTGAAGCGCGGCCAGAATTAGTCTCACAAAATGCCAAATTTAGTCACACACAGTGTCAGAATATATGGATTTGGTAGGTTTGCATTCTAAAGGCTTTTAAATAGATATGGCAACATTTTGTGACGTTTCATTGTTGCTGGCGCATAGTGCAGTGTTTTGAGAGTGACGTAAAGCAAACAGAACTCGAGTTGCGCGTACGGTATATTTTTTATAGCCATTCATTTTTTGCTACGTCCTGAAAGTGTGGGAATATACTGCGTTTACCCTATAATACAATTAGTACTCATCAAGTTGGTTGGCTGGTACAGACTAAATTCAGGGTGCAATTCTAAGAATGGAAGTTCACTTATAAGCAGAGCTGGACAGCCCAGACAGCGCTACTTTGAAATGTAGCAGCCGCTACTGCTACCACTAGTCCACTACATGCTCTAAATGTAGCAGGTGCTACCTCTACACCCATTAGATCAGTAATACCCTAACTTTTTCAGGCTGGCACCCCCTTTGGCTCCCTAAAAAATTTCGAAAGCCCCCCACAGGCACAAAAAACGTACGCCTCTCTTGAAATTTAGTATGCTGCAATTTTATAAGGTAAAGGTTACACACAAATGTGGATTTCACAAATGGAACCCCATTTAGTGAACCGACCATCAAATGGGGTTAAAAGGGACGGATTTGAGCGTTTTTTGTCAATAACTTCTTACCATGAAACATTTCAGAAACAAGTTTAGGCTCATTTTATAGCTCTTTGCGAGGGCTATCCAATGGCATCTTCAAAAAAATTCCACATGCTATTCGTAAGGTGCCAGACGCAAAATAAAACCGTCCCGATTTACCCCTCAAAGCGGGGTAATCCGGTACACTTGCAATAAAAGTTAATTTTAGAACAATTGAAGCATGCAGAGTGTACTCATCCATTACTAACAGTACTTTGAAGTCCTCCTCTTCATTGTAGATGATGTAGATGTAAAATAAATGACATTTTCTGTGATTTTTACTTGTTTTTCCTTTATTGATATTATATTATCATATTCATTAATTACCCTATTATTAATGTGATATTACTGTATCCATGGACATGCCATTGAGCATTGACAACGACCTTGTCCACTGCAAGCTTCATAATGACAGATGCCATTATAAAACCATGCAATTGAGTCTACATTTGTTAATGCAATTTTAAAATGCCTTCACCTATTGAGAATCCCACCAACTGCAAACTGCATTCCTTGATGCAGTTTCTCTGTACACAAGGCTTCAAATTATTTGATGCTCACAGCTAGATCTGTGAAGTGGATTGTGAAAACTGTGATGGAATGCTGCATAATCAGGTTTGTGAATTTCAAACATGGCGGCCCAAACATTCCTGACGGAATGTGTAGATCTTCAGTAAAAACCAATCATCTGATCAAAAAAGTAAACCGCAAAGTAAAATAGAACAGACTGTGGTCATTCTATTCCTGTGGTCGTCTGTTCTCTTAACACTGTAAAGTGTATTTGATGGCATATGTAAGCAGGTTGTTAGAAATGATGAATCCCTAAATTTAAATTTGAATTATGTAAGAAAGTGCAATAAAGTATGACCTTTCACGGGAATAAATGTTTTTTGGGAAATTTAGTTTTATTTTTATGGCCAAGCCAAAAGGTGCTCACTTTGAAAAATGCCTCTTATTTTAATCTTATTTAGTGTGTTCCACTTGATTATCCATCAAGGACATGGCAAAAAAGTTGAGTTATCTGTTAAAGTGTACATAGTTGTCATCCTGGTGAATTCAGAGCAGAATGAATTGGAGAATGTTGGTTTAATACTCAAGTTGAATGAAAATTCGGACTTGTAAATTTAATGATTTATCTAATTCACAAAATTTCACAACATTTCATGAGGTGAAAAATTTGCTGTTATCTAAGGATGCTTTTTTTCTGCAGGTATGCCCTTGCCAATTGAGCATGCAACTGGTCTGGAGCGCAGAGAGTTGGAGGCTATTGCTGCTGGAAATGAGGCAAGTTCTAAGAAAAGTATATTTACATCCATCGCGTTGCTTAAAAAAATGAACAAATGTGATAGAGATTTGTGATGAGTAAGAAGAAGTTGATTATTAGTGTTGTTGAAATTGCCAATAAATGAATGAGATGCCCTACTTGACTATTAATGGATGTTGACCTATAAAAAAATTTTTGGCAGCACTATTTCATCTCAGATAAGCATTTAATTTTTTTTGCTGTTCAAATAATTTGTGAAATGCATGATTATCAATCGATCAGTTATATTATTGTTTCAAATATGATGTTCTCAGCATATAGCATGTAATTTAATTGAATGGAGCCACAAATTTATCAGTAGATGATGCTACATCATATGATTGCTATGTTACCTCGAGTGTAGGTTGCTAGTGTGAATGTCATATTTGATGCACCACAGCATGAAGAATTAAATACAATGTTGCAGCTCCCATGTTTTTTTTCCATAATTTTTGGTGGCTACTGTTTATTACAACTTCTCTTGAACTTCAAGTACAACACTTCTCTTGAACTTCATTTCTTGTTTGCTTGTTAGTTTGTCTGCTACAAATCTTATAATCGATATTTAACACACTTCTACCTGTATAATCAATCTGAAATTTTGCACACGTGCATAAAGCTGGAGACAATGCATGAATCAATTGACACATTAAATGATTTTGAAAATTTTGTGTGCTACTGTGTGTGGCGCTACATATCTTATAATTGATATTTAACACACTTTACCTGTACAATCGATCTGAAATTTTGCACACTTGCGTAAAGTCGGAGGCAATGCATGAATCAAGTGACAGAATGAATGATTTTGAAAAATTTGAACAAAATTTTTGATTTTTAGAATAAAATTTGAAAATTAATTTTTTTATTATATGGTAATAAAATTAGAAATTTATTGTTCATGTGTAACATTGGAGACACTGGATTCGTTAGAAGTGTTGTCTTTAAAAAGTAATTTTTAAACGCATAGCATTTTTAGTACTACAGAGGGCAAGATAGTTGACCTCACTGTATAATATCAGCACTACTAATTTTTGATCTTCAAAGTTCATTTATGGAAGTACAATTAGAATGAACATTAATGAGAATTGTGAGCTAGAAACAAAGGAGCTTCACTCTCAGAACGACACTTGCTTTTAGCCTATGCAGCAAATAGACTCGTAGAAAACTGTGTAGAGGAAATCTCTAAGGGCATTCATTATAACGCTACTCACTTGATTAACTTCTATAACGTTTTCATGAGGAGCCTGTATCAACTATTCGTATTGTTGCAGAACCCATTCGACATGCGCGTGATCAAGCGCGTTGCGGGAGCGACCAAGGATTCACCAACCGAGGTGCCGTCTGCTTTTGAGAAGCGCATCATGGGGTGCGTGTGTGAGGAGGGAGCAACAAGCATCAACTGGATGTGGCTCTACCGCGGGCAGCCAAAGCGATGCGAGTGCGGCCACTGGTTTACTCTTGTCAAGTCCAACCCTGTCTAGTGCGCCCACTTATCACATTTTTTCCTTTGGTAAATAATTATTTGCATATGCGTGTCATGTTGCTGCGCTGGAAGTTGTGTATTCTATTAAATTGCCTTCGCAGTATGTGAAAATGGCGAAGACTTACTTTTAGTTAGAGAAATAAAGATGTACCACAAGGCATGAAATGGACATTGAGGATTCTTGGGTCCGCGCATCTGTTGAGATAGCATCTTCTACTCGGCATCTTTATTTCGGAGTTGTGCTAAGGATTGCCGAACTCAATATTTTATCATATTCCACCTTTTCGTTGAAGTTTCGGTTCTTGTGGAACAAAATTATACGAACAGTTTCATTCGTGGCAAAAACAGATGATGAGTTTGTAACTCAAGTGCGAGAGGGGAACGTGTAAATAATTGTGTCGAATTAAGAATTAACAATTTAAAAGCCTTATTTGCACGTGTTTGAATTTCATCCTTCTATTGTAACTTTATGCATTTAAGAGGAGAGACGCTGTCTAGAGAAACTTTTACTAAATAATTTGCAACTAAAGATAAAATATCTTCCAAGAGCCTTTATTTAGTTTTAGGTACTAGAAATGACATTCTTGTTCGAAAATGATGAACAATGGAAATTTATTTCTTATACTTCATAGGTGAGAAACAGTGGTATAAAATGACCTAGAACTATGGAATTGATTATTGCCACGTAATCATCTCTGACATCATACGGACGGAGGTACCTTGTCTCTGCCTCAACCCTTCTTCACATCAGCAAAATTAGGTTAATCCACTTGTTTGTGAATATTTTAGGGGAAATCATTTCGGCGTTGGTTTTCATAGCAAGGCGTCAATCTCCAGTCAAATTTAGCTTGCTCATTTCTAGTGCACCATCACCAATTTCGCCGGCAGGTTTGGCATCGTTTGAGGTGGGAAGCACTCTACTTGTAGCAGTCCCTGCGGGGCCTTCCTCCTGTTCTTGAAATGACGTGTTGCGCTCTGTGTCAATAAGCCTCGGGTTATTGACACAGTCGTTCTCGACCGGTCGCGTATTTCCATTTACCGATTCCTGTGCACTGACTATGTTAGTTGTCGCATCAGCGACTTGTACCGTTCTGTACAGTAGCCGGATTGCTTGAGCTAGAGCTTTGGCAGTTATTTCGGCAGAGCAGACCTCCAAGGGTGGAACATGGATGAAGATGCTACGTGATGCGTCTTGGTTGAGAGATGTGTAGTAGACGAATGAGCATAGGTACCTGGTAAAAAATAGTTTGCTAGCGAGCATTCATGGATCTGTGATATCATTAGCTTATTATAGTATAGCTGGCACTTTCTGATTATTGCAAAAAAAATAAAAGAAAATAGTATCGGAACCTACTTGCCAGGATCCTGTGAGAGTTCACACTTCAATTGAAGGGAAACATTTTGGTTGATGTCTCGAGCAACATCTTTAAGTGGTAGGTTTGTCATCAAGATATCTTTTCCACCTATTGAAAAAATGAAGCATCAAAACCCATTACCACTTCCTAATTATACGTCATGAAACTTATTGCACAAGAAACTTATTACACAAGCTTCTTAACTTTGTATAATTTGAATATTTTTTTTTTTTGCTCACAGGTGTACTTATGCAAGCATAATAATGCTGCTTGAATGTCAATTGGATTATTGCTAGGCATACCTGGAATGCAGCAGTGGTCCTGCGGGCATGTGTGTTTGATATCAAGGCAAGTGTAGCCATCATTGCCGGCTTGCTCTTCCAGTGTGAGTTTACTAGCGTGTCCTGCGACACCAACATGTACCACAAGCTGCACAGACAGAAAAATTTAGCTCAATAAGAACTCTAATCTATCTTAATGCAAATGTAGGAAATAATATTCAGCAAAATCAGCAAATAATATTCTCACTAAATACGAAATAGATTTTAAACTAATTATAAAATAAATTTAATGCACTGGTTTTCAGTGATCATGAATATGTTTAACAGTACTCTAATTGACTTCTTAATAATTAACCTATTTTTCCATATGTTAAATAACCAAACCTTTGGCTTAAGTTGAGTCCATCTTTGAGGAAGAATTTTTCTAGCAGAGCAATAATCAACTTCTAGAGTCTCGCATACTAGCTCCACTCCCAGTTCATGGGCCAAATTAGTTTTCTCCACCTGAAATATTACAATAATTTTTTATATACCTGAAAAGATTATAGCATTTGAAGTTACTAATTGAAGCTGTGGGTATCCAGTACCATGCAAAAAAAATCCTGTTTAAAATCCTCTGTGTGCTTTAAATCCTGGGCAATATGGATATCATACCGTACCTATCATGTTGCATTATGGCAATATATTTAGTCAGTTAACATTTTCCGTCAGTAATCAATCACATCCTAGATACAATGAAATTTTAATATGCTTTTCACCAGTGAATGCAATAATAAATATATCAAAGGAAAGCTATGTTAAGCTTTTTTGTCACCAATGAATACAAAAATGAATAATTTAAAAATGTGATGCAAAAAAAAAGAGTCAAAAAAAGAGTTAAAAATTACCAGTTGCCAATGTGCTTAGTTGAGGCCTTCCAAGAAAGAAAATATATCCACAATACAAAATGAAATATACCGGTAGCTTATAATCATATATAAAAAAACATCAGCACACCACCTAGTAGAAGGCTGAAATATATTCAATTAAGAAGATACCTAGTTTCTTAGATATCCTAGGAGCCTAACATCACTGTTCTTAACATCCTATGAAACTAACATACATTTAAGTAAAAAAAACTTATGTCACCATACACAACCTATTTTTTATCCATCACTAACACTTAACTTTAATGAGCACCTAATGAGGTACACATATTTATGTTGTCTCTGTAAACTATTTTGATAGATGCAGGCAAAACATTAAGACTCAATTATTGTCATCACATTCTTCTCTTCCAGCCTGAACACAATTTATGAATAAAATTTTACTCACATTTACACACACAGTGCCTCTCTCAGACAAACCCCACCATCATTGCTATCTACTGAACTGGTCTCACATCTCCATTACTCTTACTTTGTCATTAAAATGACCACCATAACCCCACTATCCCTAATATAGTTATACTGTTTGGGGCTGTTTACTGCTAGGAACGCCAATTCCACCATCATGTACGTGTTCCATCATGTACGTGTTCACATTCCCATCACATATTTCCCACTGTAGGTATGTATTTAGGTGTGACTGGATCTACATACAGGGGGAATGAGAGAAGGGAAGATAAATGTTTTATGTGTGATGGGGATGTGAAGGAAACTGGAGCACTTGTTGATGGAATGTGTGGCATAAGAGAGAGAGTGAGTCTATGATGGAGGTGATTCTGAATGATTGAGGTTAGGTCAATGGATAGGGAATGGAGGAAAAAGCAAAGAGTGAATGGCAATGATTGTGGGGAGAGGAGGGGGATGTGGGGGTTGAGGGAGAGGAGGGGGATGATAGTGGGGTCATGAGGAGTGGAGGGTTGAGAGAGGGGAGGAAGGGAAGGTAAAAAAGGTAACCATGATGAATGTTTTGGCATATTGTTTTTTTTAGGATGTTGACATGTATATATAACTGAATGTTATAGTCTTTGAAGATTATAGTGAATACTTATTAATTGAACTTTTTGTTAACTGCCAAGTGTAAGATGAACTTATAAATTTTTTTATGCTAGTTAAAGATTTTTAATGAAGTGTGAATGACTGATCTAAAGGTCTTGACTGGAAGTAAATATGAACCGCAACTACAATTTCAATCTCCTCACACAGCATCCCTGTCCTTGTATAATTGTAGGTGCTCATAGTTGCTTTCATCACACATTTATTCATACTTAAGCAGTGCTCCCAGCTTTCCAATAAAAGAAGTAGTAGTCTAGTAGAGAGCACTATTTGCCATACTGATTAGCAAGAGTGAAACAAGACAGTTCAATATGCAATAATGCTGCATAATTGCAGCTTGCTATTATAATAGGACTATTTTCCTATAGGCCATAGGTAAAGAGGACTGGCAAATGGCAATCAAATGAATAAGAATAAAATGTTGTATGTATAGATTCATTCTTGGTCTACATAATTGTCTATTTACAAAACCTAACTTTGTGCAACAAACAAAATTTTCAAGTAAATATTATCATATTAACCTGGAATGGTTTGCCTAGTAGGTTGTTGCATTCTACCAGCAGGTATTTTTCACTATGAAGTTATGAACTACAGCAATCCCTTGATTAATGCGGTTAATAAATCCCCGAGTTTTACCGTGTTAATCAAAACCGCGCTAATCAAACTTAAGAATATATGGGAATAATTATAATGAATCCTCAAAAATAGCAAAGGAAAGGAAAATTATGTAGTTTGATAAAAGTGAGCAGTAGATATGGCAGCGATCTTGACCAGTTGAAGGCTAACGAGTAACTAGCCCTTTACGCACTGAATTATGTTTCGAAAGTGAAAAAACAATCTGAATTCCTTTTCAGATCACGCGCAGTCTTTGTGTTAAACTGGCAGTAGCGACGCGCCTACTCCATCGAACGTCGTTCGAACGAGTTCACAACATGTGACGCTACCGTCACACTCGCGGCTAGACTCCAAACCTGTAATTACTCTCGGTAGAAGCTTTTATTTTCTGTGTGACGAATTCATCACACCAGGGCTCAAAGGGCTAGAGCACCGGCATGGCGCACTTACCGGCGAACGTTGCCGAACTCGATCATTCGAGTTATGAACGAGACAAGGCGCGGTTAAACCAGGCTAGAGGCGGGAAAATGATGCGTTGTGAAAAAAAAGTCGCGCTAATCAAAACTGGCACCGCGTAGATTAAGGGTAGGTCGCAAATTTTTTTTCCGCGTTAATCAAAACCGCGGTATTCAAAACCGTGCTAATCAAGGGATTGCTGTATACACTAATAACTATTTCAGCAGCAAATGCTGAGCAGAAAAGAAGCCCTAACAACATGAAAATTGAAATTTACAAAAGACAGCTTAGACATGTATGACAACTATTAGAAACTAGGCAAAGCAAAGGGTGTTTGAGCTATTTTAGAATGTATTGAGGAACTTGGGGCCTGGGGGGTACGGTAACTGAATTGTAGTCCTTCACTAAAGAAACAGTTATATAGGCTGTTGATACATCATGTATGATTGTATCATGTGCAGACTTAACTGCTTCTTCACTCTCTGCATACATAAATGCAGAGAGTGAAGAAGCTGCAGCATGCTGCAATGCAACTATAAGATTTATATTAAAACAATACAATTAACTCACCAAAGATACAGCAGCATCACTTGCATTTACTTTGTAGCCGCCAAATGGCCCAAATCCAGTCAAATAAATAACAGGTTTTTCATCCAAATTATTTTGTGATGAATTCATACCAATTGGATTAGTGGAAAAATCCTCTATTGATTTTGTAACCAGTGAAGTTGAATGAACTACAATGCATTCAGAAAATAAAAAATTCAATATGCAAATTTCAGAATGAATAAAATAATACTATTAGTCACTCTCCAATCTAATGGAAACAATTTTCTTGAGGACAGAAAAAAAAAATTCTAGAAACAATGTTGTTAGCTATTAAACCACCTTGACACTCTTATTCTTTATGCTATTCAAACACAAAAATATATTTCCAAAACTAGGAACACTAGAAGATTTATTGATGTGTGCAGACAGGAGACAGCCTGCAGTTTGTAGCCATTAGCATTGTGAATGTCAGAATCTAGGCTGTACCGCTGTAGCATTATTATCAATCATGGTCATTTTTGGCTGCCTTATCAGGCTTATCTTATCAGAAGCTTATCCTGCTTATGGAAACTCATAAATAGTCATAATGCATTGTAGAGGCGGCAAGGCCTACAGGGTAGGTAGGGTAAATGCGGTATATTCCGACACTTTAAGGACGCATCGAGAAATGAAAAACTATAAAAAAAAAACCGTATGCGTTACGTAAGTTCTGTTGCCTCACATGACTCTTAAAACACTTCACTACGCGTCAGCAACGATGAAACGTCACAAAATGTTGCCATATTTATTAAAAAGCCTTTAGAATGGAAACCTAAAAAAATCCCTATATTCCGTCACTTTGTGTGGCAACATCCGACACGTGGTGAGTCGTATTGCGTCAGCGCTTCAAATTTAACTGATACGTATTGCCGACATCCACGTGTTCGAATTCCGTTTGCTGTATTGGGATACAACACGGCTTTGAATTAGAACACTAACGAATATTGAACACTACTTAATTACGTTTTAATTAACAGCTATTAGGCTTTCAATTAAGCAAATTTCAATTTTTGTACAAAGCTTTGAACGATCTGTGTGTGTCCAATTCAAGTTGTATCACCATTTCAACCATCAATGAACGCATGGAACTAAAACAAAGCTTAATATAAAGGAAAAACTAGAGAAGTGACGGAATTACCTACGATGTCGGAATATACCGCGTTTACCCTACATTGATGATGGAACTAAAACAAAGCTTAATATAAAGGAAAAACTAGAGAAGTGACGGAATTACCTACGATGTCGGAATATACCGCGTTTACCCTAGGGTATGTAAGTCATAACAACAAGAAAAAATGGGCTGAAGCAATAGACATCTTTTTGGCATTTTGTTTACCTTTATTACATGTATAAATGTAATTGTGTATTATACTAATTATAGTCAAATAAATATCTTTCAAAAAATTCAAACCCTTTACTAAATACTAGCTAAGTACCTACAGTACCGCTACTAAGACAATAAAAATATGATTTTAATCACAATCTTGACTTGGGTAGAGTTAGTCTTCTATTTTAAAGGTTAATCTAGGTATATTACTGAGCTTGAACTGCAGAATGATTGCTGGCATGCTGGGGGCTCAGCCTGGGGCCACTGGGCCCAGCTGGCGCCTGGCCTGAGCTGGGGCATGATTGTCCTGCACTGATGTCTACTGCTGGGGCAGGGGCAACTGCAACTATACTTCAGTAAACAAAATATGATACAAATTTATTGATATCTAGACTACATAAGTTTTTGAAGCCTTACATATACTAGCATGTTGCAGTTGCAGCGATCATCATCATAAGCTATGCGCAACGCAAGTGATGAAGTGACGACTGACGAGTGACCCTCCAAAACCTAGATCACCAAATCATCCCTTTGACATTGAATGACAGCGAAACCGGGGATTGGTTCATTTGGTTGGCCCAGCGGTTAAAGTTGGTTGGCCCAGTGGTTAAAGTTAAGTTCAGAGTACCAAGATTGGCGCAGAGAGACGCGGGTTCGATCCCAGCTCTACACGCCAGTTTCTGGTCAGAATCGGCGAGGAGGCCGGGCGGTTAAGCACAGAAGAACTGTAGCAGTGAGTTGCGTGTTCGAGACCGCAAAATCATGAAAATGCTGTGAGTGTTCTGCGATGTTAAGAATCGGCGACAGGCCTACGGCCTAATTAACGCTGAAACCGCTATATATGCAGGGGGCAAAAGCAAAACACGTGGCGAACAAATGATCCAGCGAACGTTTCGGTGAATGAAGAAATTCCGGAATTTCGAAAGCTGAGACAGTTGTTTAATATATTATTTTTGAATTATTGTTATTTTTTGAATTATAGCGGTTTCAGCGTTTATTAGACCGTAGGCCTGTCGCCGTCTCGCCGATTCTTAACATTGCAGAACATTCACAGCTTGTTGAGGGCTCGAACTTCGAACTCACTGCTCCAATTCTGCTGTGCAATTTAACCGCCCGGCCTCCTCGCCGATTCTGACCAGAAACTGGCGCACAGAGCTGGGATCGAACCCGCACCTCCCTGCGCCAATCTTGGTACTCTGAACTGTAACCACTGGCCACCATATTGTTTCATAATAATAATATAGCGGTTTCAGCGTTTATTACGCCGAATGCCTGTCGTCGATTCTTAACATCGCAGAACATCCACAGCTTGTTGCGGGCTCGAACTGGCAACTCGCTGCTTCAAATTTTCTTTGCACAACCGCCCGGCCTCTTTGCCGATTCTGACAAGAAACTGTCGCATAGAGCTGGGATCAAACTCGCACCTCTCTGCGTCAATCATGGTACGCTGAACTTCAACCACTGGGCCATCCTGCCATTACCAATCTCTGTCCATCACGGTCGAAATAATAGACATAACCCACATATTATTCCAACTGAGGGGTAATACTATAACGTTAGAAACAGATCTGACATTGGTGCGAGTGTATATGTTTAATGATCATATATCCCAAACCGCTGAGCAGCGCCTGGTGATAAATTTGTGAAAATCAATTTCTGATTTAATTTAGATATTTAAACTTCAATCGACATAAATACTGCAATTAATGGCTTAAAACAATATTGAACTCAATGTCACATCAGGTTTTGGAGGCTCGCAAAACACATACAAAGTAGGCATGTTATATGCAATGCACAATGCGGATTGTTGAAACAGAGATGATTAATTATTGAGTCAAGATAAGCAGAATTTCAGGACTGCGCACAATCTTTTTAGATCATTCGTCAAATGAATTTGAGAGCTCAACGACTTTTGACTTATTTTGAGTGACCACGTACAAAACAGTTGCAACACCTGCGACTGCGTTCTTCTTTAAATAAGTGGGACTATGTCGGCTTCGTAGAGAATATCAAACAGAATTTCTTTTTATTGGTATGACTTGTTTTCTGTACGAACACTAGTCAGTGAGTATTTTTAGCGCATTTTCTCATTTCTAAAAAAATGCACTATTGTGCTCGCCATGTCCGTCTGTCTGTCCGTCCGTCTGTCCGTGACCTCAAGTTTTCGTAATAGTGTCAATGTAGGCATTTATTTATGTTTATGCGGCATTGAGTGTACGAAGAGTACAGCGTGTTCGCTGCGTTATTTGAGTGTTCATAAAAGTGTGTAGAAAATCAACGCTATTATAGCAGCGTGTAAGAGATGAACTGACACAGTGAAAGAGTTCAGTGAGGGCGCTCGATTTCGAGATTGGTAATATAGTAATGTATAGCTGTCAGTGTGTACTGGACCCTTAAGGTGCCTGTACACAGTGATAGTACTAGCCGCTGGTTCATCTGCCGCTTGAACTGTCCAGCTACTAGCCTCGTGTATAGGGAGGGGTTCAGCCGCTTCAGAGACATGTGTCCGAGACCGCGAGACGCGGCCGAAAGGGACAACGATGTGTAGATTTCTTCGCTGGATAAGTCACAGATTCAGCCATGGTTAAGGGGACCGGCTACCCTAAAATTTTCAATTATGGCGTTTTTCGGTTTTTGTGCTCATCTGAAAGCTGGAATTCTGCTCTTTCCAATGGTACCACTGATTAGTCTCATCTTAAAGCTGACATTCTGAGCTTTCCAACGATACTACTGCGATCCATGTACGGCAATAATGACGCAGGCGGCCGGGCTTTAATTGGGGGCGGGGGGTGGAGTTCCTTAACTAAATAGACCTAAGAAAATTACAGCGGCAAGACTACATATCTTGGTGTATCTGGCATCTGAGCTCAGTTACCCTCCTAACATTGTACGTAGAGGTGCGCTACAAGTTGCTGCTAGCATCCTTGTGTGGATTAAGCTACAGAAGCCTGTAGTTTGGTATCCATGCTACATTGAGTGCCTATTTCGAGGCGCACGGGACTTTGTCGCGCCGTCCTGAAAAATTTGAAAAGTTCAACTTACTGTCACGGAAAACCTATCTCCTCCTACAGTTTCCAAGCTACAGCAATGAGACATATACCATTCGATTCGTAAAGACCATACCTATCGACTCTAACATCACTTTTTTTAATTTTTGTCTGGTTCGTTTTTTATATGGGGAAGAATGAAGGGAGGGGTGAAAAATGTAAAAAATGGGAAAAAACGTCATAAAAAAACTAGGTGGAAAATGAAAAAAGTGATGTAAGAGTCGATAGATATGGTCTTTACGAATCGAATGATACGTGTCTCGATGTTGTAGGATGATATTTGTGGGAGGAGATAGATTTTCTGAAGTACCCCTTTTTAGCCGTTTTCTATGAATTTCACGGTTTTTATCAATTTTTTCGAAAAATACATAGGGACAAAATCTTTTTCTTTTTACCTTTTACGTATGTATGTGAAGTTTCATGATAATCGGATAATAACTGTAGAAGTTTTTTCGGAGGGTAGCCGGTCCCCTTAAGTCTGTGCCGCTCATGTGAAGCATCTTTGATCAAGTGTATCATGGCTTGTTTGAACGATAATGGTTCTAAGAAGAACCCAACAAAGTGGATTTCAGAAGATATTCAATTATTCTTTGAAATATTCCAAAAATATAAATTAAAGTGGAATATTTGCCATGATGGATACTCTAACAAGATGAGGAGAGAAACGAGTATTTTGAAACGGAAAGAAGACCATATTAGTCAGGGTTTAGTGGTTCCTGATGTTGCATTTTTTAATGGCTAGAATAAAGAGTATAAAAACGACGTACAGACTCGAGTTGTTGAAGGTGATCCCACTATCCATCTTCGCAGACCTCATTCGACGGCTTCTAACGACTCACTGGCTGGCGCGAACGAGAAGATAGCGGCACCTTATACTCTTCTCGTGTGTACAGGCTTACTTGCCGGATAGTCACCAAGCGACCGACACTTGCCAGATCTACTAGCCGTTTGCACCATCCCAGTGTACAAGCACCTTTAGACCTGTCGTCGATTCTTATCGTAGCAGAATATCAACAGCTGGTAGCTGGTCTCGAACACGCAACTCCTTGCTCAGATTTTGCTGGGCTTAACCGCCCGGCCTCCTGGCAGATTATAAGGTCTCCGTGCTGGGATCGAACCCGCACTTCTCTTCTTACATTTTCGTAATCCAAACTCTACCATTGAGCCACCCTGCCATGTAAACTGCTTTTCAATCCGGAAGGGGTTCTTTGGAGGTAAATTTTTGTGTGCTCAGTGCTCAAAATCTGACTAAAATGAACGATGTCGTAGGTAAAAATGATAAAATAATTGACAAATTTTCTGCTCGTTAGACGACCGCCATGAAACGAAGAAACCAAGTGGAATTTATAATAATGGTAATAAAAAATGATCCTGATATTATAATGAATACAAAATTAGTGATAGGTTTTATCATTGTACACATTGTAAACGTTTATTTTCTAAAACTTTGAAAATATTTGCTTGGATTGAGCGTGACAATACGTCAATTTTGCGGAATTCGCCATGCCACAACCTTCCGTATATCAGTCGTTCGCCACCTCAGCGTTCTGGGAGCGCAGCCGTGGGTAACAAAATTGACTCGTAAACAGGCCCTGGGCCCAACCATCAGCATGCAATATCTACACATAGCCTCAGATCAATGAGCTGTGGGTAACTTCGGCTAACAGTAAATCCGCTTTGCACAACACAGCCACTGCATCACAGCGCCGGAGCATAACTGGCCCTACCGCAACAGAGGCGCAGGTTATGTTAGGTTACGTTAGGAGTAGCCTGTTGCGCTGCGGCCTGTGACTGAGCGGCGCTGTTGTGGTGTGCGCTTTGTGTCGACTGTCGAAAGCCGTGAAGATGCCCGGCTGCGTTATACGCTCGGAAAGGTGTATGAATCGCACTGTGGACTTGCGCTATGCTGACCTCTAGCTATCCAACCAGCGTTCTCAGACTTGAAGAATTCCCCAGCTGTACGGATCTACTCTTCACCCAGCATTCATAACATTTAACGGAAGTTCAAAACCCTCGGAATCTATAATCATTAGGAAGGAGTAAAATGAGTCTTTGTCAAAATAGCCAACTTAACGTTGCTGAACTCGGAAATTTAACTTAATTTCTGCTGAAATTAGGATGCGTGCACAAAATGTAACATATCTTATATGTTTCATAGATGTCTTGCATGTAAGTGTAACATATAACAATACGTAGCATTCAACGATATGTTACACATGTAATATTTATCGTTACATAGGTGATATTTCAATTCCTAGTTTAGCGTTTTAATTGGAAAGAGAGGTATACGTGCAAGTGAGGTGTAAGGGCAATGTGGTCCAGTGGTTAAAGTTCAGAGTACCAAGATTGGAGCAGAGAGGTGCGAGCTCGATCCCAGCTCTGTGCGCCAGTTTCTGGTCAGAATCGGCAAGGAGGCCGGGCGGTTAAAAGAAAATATGAAGCAGTGAGTTGCGAGTTCAACCCCGCAACAAGCTGTGGATGTTCTGCATTTTTAAGAATAGGCGACAGGCTTACGGCCTAATAAACGCTGAAACCGCCATACTATACTACGTTCTTGATTGAGTATCGTAAAAATGAACAATTTTGTTCGTTCGACAGGCCACAACCCACAAGTGACAGAGCGTTAAAGGCTACAATATCAATAATTGAAAGAATGCTCCACACAGAAAATGCCTACGTTGTTTAAACGACTACTGGAATATTGCGCGAAGACAGTAAGACCTTGGGAAAATGTCGACATCATCGTTAACTCGTAGTAAAGAAATACAAATAAATACTCGAATGAATTTTCATGGATTTTATTCAACTACATTCGGTGCCTTATGACAATGAATACAGATTAGCGAGTGAGAGAAAATAAATTTAATAATAGAATCGAAAACAAAATCACTTACATTATTCAAGGCAAACGTTGGTTATCTCAACTTTTCACTTCCTTTCACTGAACACGTAACATTTTTTTTTTTTAGTTTATAGCGTGCACAAACTGTCTTGGGTAAAATAGAGCTTAGATACATTACTGATTACTGAAAAAAATGAACATGTTAGTTTATAAGTCAGGGTAATGATTATACTTGATTACAAATAATGAAAATTGAAAAGTACAAACATAACAAGAAAGGTGCCCTCAATATAATTTACAGTGCCAATGACTCAGTTATGCGATGCTAGTAAACAACGGTGCAATAATATCTTGAGTTATTAATTTTTTGATCAATTTAATACTCTACGAATAAAGATTGCATTAGTCGCTCGGCATAAAAACTATGAAGCCCAGAAGCGTTTGGAAAATATTGAAGTAACTTCTAAATGGAAAAATTTCGAAAGGAAATTCTAGACTACTTAAGCCGGAGTAGACGGAGCTGCTTGATGCAGCCACGCCCGCACCGCAGGAGCGCATTTGGGTGCCCACACTCGTACCATGCCGCGTATGGTTCGGGGTGAGACTTGGGCAACTTTGGCCGCCGACACGAGCGTGGCCCAGGCCTCGGGCTGGCTGGGGTGCATGAGCAAATTTCGTTGTGCTTCTTTCAACGCATTTATATTGTCAGCAGCGAGTAAGAATCCCAACACACGCGTGGTACCGTCCTCAGTAGGCACAAAATGAGACCTGGTAGCTGCAGTAGACCGGCTCTGCGACAGTACACAAGCAGCAGAGGCAGAGCGCACGATGGACTTGCTTCGTTTCTCGGCACTCTTGATTTCCTGCGAGGTCTTTGGAGTTGTTTTTGAGGCGCTTGTGGCCAAGTGCCAAGACAGGAAACGCCAAATGTGCTGACACTGAGGCCTACACAAAACTGCGCGACTTAGAATGCACTTGGCAACATTTGTTTGCCCTCTTAGTATTTCTTGGGCAGCCGTTAAGAAAGCAATATGGTGGGACGCTTCTTCAGAGTGTCGGTGTGGGACTAGTTCGTTGAGTGCGGCATTAATAAGCGTCGCATCGCCTTCTAGGAGTCCCAGGGCGCCCAGGGCCAAGATGCCTGCAACGCAGCCTCCACCCTCGCGGCAGCTTTCGAACAGAAGGGTCTTGGCTTCTTGAACTTTGCCGAACTTATACTGCAGGCACGCTAATGCGACCAACACGTTTGCTTTGTGATGATGATTCTGCGCAAGCCAGTGTAGTGCTGACTGGTATTTAGAGTAGCCCGTCTCGTAATCCTCGCCTTTCAAGCAAGCTAAAGCTGAGTTACATTCAGATTGAAAATCTGGTTCGGTAATAGAAGAAAAATGTCGAACAGCATCCTTAACTCGACCAAGAGATGTAAGTACACGGCCATAGTTGCTACGAATCGTGTCACTCAAATTGGAGTCAGGCTTAGAGCCCTGCTGAAGCTGGTTACAATTGTTCAAAGCTACGTCATAGAGCTCCGAGGCCGTGTTCTCCATGCCAAACTTTTCAAGGCACAAAGCAGCAAGATTGAGGCCAACAGGATCATCATCGAACTCTCTAGAATAAAACAACATGGCGTCGACGGCAAGAGAGAGAACAGAAGACGCAATAGTCTTGCCCTCATTGAGCGCTATGGTGACGTGATGAGCGTGGCCGAGGCCGCTCTCAGGATGCGCGCCAAGAGTGCAGCAGTGACGGAACAGATCCGCTGCGTCGTAATGCTGGACGCTCTCTGCCACCAAAGCTTGGCCGGTCCAGCACGTAACGAAGCGAGGGTCCAGAGCTTGGGCTTGGCAGAACGCTTGATGAGCAAGCTGAACTTCACCGCACACCAAATAGAAGGCACCTAAATGTGTCCAATTACTAGCACAGGGCTGTAGCTGAATGCTTCTAATAAAGGAATGTTGAGCCAAAGAGTGATTCTTCACTGAAGGATGGATGGAAATAACTCCTAAAGTATCCCACACTTGGCTATCACGAGGAGACAAAGTTAAGCTCTTTCTTATGCAGTTTTGGGCCCGTTGCATCAATGAAGAAAACTTAGGACTATCCTCCATCATGTCAACATATTTGGCAGTGAAGTAATAACTAAGACCTAAATCATGCCATAAGGAGGAATCGGAGGGACTTAGTTTTGCAGCAACTCCATAGCATTTGCTACCGAGCTGAAGAACGTTCAAGAGAGAAACTTCCGACATCTCACCAACCTGATAATCAGGTTTCACAAGTCGGGCCGGGATCTGTATGCTTTTTATGCACAAGTAACGCGGTAGCCTATGGAGTAACGAGCAGGCGTCGCCTAACGACTTCCAAATACTGATGGCAAGAGGCTGCAGTTCCCTGGCTTCATCTAAATTCTTAATAGCCAGGAGGCAGTGAGACAAAGTATTGTCAAGGTGCTTAGTAGATGCATGCTGCGATGCGAGGGCAATATGGGCTTGAGCAAGGCCTAAGAAAATCACCGACAGCAAATTGGTATCATGACACATAGCCAATAATTCTTCATACCTAGAAACAGCAATGGTAGGCTCTCCGATACAGAGATGAATCTTAGCAATCTGACATCGAGGGTATATGGCCTTAGGATCCAGAGTAGATATTTTTTCATAAACTTTCTGAGCAGCTACATACGAGCCTCGTGCCAAGTATGCATCTCCCAAGCTCTCAAGGGCCTGTCGATGGTTATGCTGAAGTTGTAGGCAGCGTTGCAATGCAGAGATTGCCTTTTGTGAATCGTACACAGAGAGATGATGAAGACCCATACGTAACCATGCCCAAGCCCCGCCACTGGAGCCTTCACTTGTGACAGAAGTAAGTAGAGCAAAGTTTTTGTCAAATTCTCCGAGTTCCCTGTAGATGTCAGAGAGAGCAGCTCCTTCTTCCTCTGCTACAGGGGCAAGCATGTATGCTTTGTGATAACATTTGCAAGCCTTGATCTTATCTCCCACGCGGCGGTAGTGATGCCCTAAATAGAGGAATGCCTTTTCCCTGGACGGGTCTAATTTTGCAGCTTGCAGTAAACATTTCAAGGAAGCAGAATCGTTTTTATTTTGCTGATAGATCCTACCAAGCAAAATAAGAACATCGACATTTAAAGGGTCCTTTTCTAGAGCGTGTGTAAGAAATTTTTCAGCACCTGCCAAATCACCCTCTAGATAGAGCAACTTCGCATGAAGAACTTCGTAGACGACGCCGCAAGTGGAAGATTGCATCTTGCTGAGCTCTTCTCTGGCAGCAACAAGGTCAGTATGCGACAGGCATTCGATGATAAGTTCACTCACATTTAAATCAAGCTTTCTCAAGATAGACAAAGCAATAGTAAAATGCTTTTCATGCCCCATTTTCATAAGTGCTTGAGCTTTGAGAAAGCTCAATTTTTGGATGACAGTATCTTTGTCTTCAAAAGAACCTGGCCACTTAGATTTTTTCTCAGAAAGTATGGATATGATGCAAGTAGCAGTTGACTCAACACCAGGCCAGTCTTTAGCTTTCTCCAAGGCCTCCAGATACAAACGCCACCATATGATTGGCTGACCATCTGAGTTACTAAAGTGACCCTTGCTGCGCTCGCAGGCTCTTTTATAACACACTAGAGAGTTTTTCAAATCCTCTGATTCCTGGTACTGTAAACCAAGAGCAAGATTGCCCCACAAGGTGGCAGGGTACATGTCAAATAGTTTTGTTATTGAGGCATCACAATCAGACCACAACAGTATAGAATCAGAGGAATGACTTTTCCATGGTAAATGGTCTTCCACAAAAACTCTAGCAATCCACTCTAATGGATAAGCTGTTTTAAAAAGAGAGTACATTATTCTAGCAGCAGCTAGCAGCTCAACTCTGTCTTCGAGCTTGTGGCAGAGAGACAGGTAAAGCTGATAGTTTCTTTCATTGCTACCCAGCACCGAGTCACTCAACAGTGCTTTGACCATTCCTAACAAATTTTGCAGCCAATCTGGACTTAGTGTATTTTGGATTGGTGACAATACATTTACAACACATTGGGCTATTTCTTTCCCATCATTTTTATCCTCATCTTTTGCAAGTGGGAGAAGTTTCAGGAGAGTATCAGCAGCATTTAATGCTTCTCCAGCATTTTCATAGGCTGTTGCTAGCTTACGGAGGAATGCCATATGCTTTTGGCCAGAATCAAAAACTGCAACAAGCTTTCCATAAACCTTGATAGATTCTGAAGGAGTGCTGAGCTGTGGCTGAGAATCAAACAGAGCAGCTAGTCCCTGCCATGCAACAGGAGTGTCAGGCTCAACTGAGCTTGCTAACAGCAACGCTTTCTTGGAGTCTTCATACTTGCCTTGCTCTTGACATGCTCGGGCAAACATTACCAGGGCTTGATAGTTGTTCCTGTCATGCTTTAAAACAATCTTACAGTATTTCAAAACTTGTTCATAGTTGTTTTCCTTTATTCCAGTCTTAGCTTCTTTTAATGCAGCTTTGATGTCTGGCGCCATGATGGACAAACTAGGTTGGTATTTCTGAAATAAAAAAAAGAGTACCATTAGAAATGAATGAGCAACTTATAACTTGAAACAATAGCAATTTTAACACTCTTTCTAACCAAATAGTTTGAATGAGAAACCTCAAGCAATGTTAAATTTGAAGGTTGTTCTCAACCTACCCTGAATAATAAGGAGAAAATGGTTGCATACCATAGTTGTGAAGAAAAGGAGAATTTTCAGAACAAGTCAGTTCGAGGAGAACAAGTCAGTTCTAACAGGTTGGCTACAAGCTGCATGATGAGAATATTTCTTCAAATCTACAAATGGCAACTTCTATGGTAGTGTCCAAGAAACTTGACAGGTTTTTCTTCATAGTATAAATGAAATGAAACAAAATTTCAGTCCAAGGGGAATTTATTTTTTTGTAGCTAACACATTAATATCATAAAATGTCTTAAATAATCAAAGTTGAGTAACAAAAAAGCTTAAAAATTTTTGAGGAAACCTTATCAATGACTGTGTTGCTACAATGTCAAGCAAAATTTCTCCCTTCCTTCTATCCTTTCATCTTTTCAATACTTATATTCTAATATAGGGCTCTAAATATGTGGCTAGTTCCTAAAATATATAAAATTTTATCCAGAATTTCTTCAAAGTAAAAATGTGTCCAGAAGATTTCTTCATACTAACATTAAACAATTTCTTTACAGCAATAAATTAATCAAAACAGTTGCTTGGATTGTCATTAAAGCAGAAGCTGATATAAATTATTGTAAAACTTTTGGCATTGATTGTCACATGTTTGAAAGTCCAAAAAATAAGACAAAAACTATAGTTGAGTTTTAGCCTAAACATCTAATGACAGCAACCTTAGTTTTCCATTCTGGAACAAGTAAATAAGATTTCTGTTGCCATCCAAATCTGACTACGCAGAGACATGTGAAAATGTGTTAATAATGCATGTTACATATAAAAAATATAACTCAGTACTCAATGCAGTGATTGACAGAAAGGGCATTTTCTTGGCAAGAAAAACGTGAAGTCACTGATGGACGGACAGACAGACGGACGGACATGGCAAGCACATGAGCACCTTTTTTCCATAAATGAGAAAATGCACTAAAAATGATAAAGAAAGCATATTTCGGAAAACTGTTCCACTTTTGCACCACCTTTAAGTAATTTAAGGCACCAAATTTGAGGAGAAAAAACACTGATAATTTATAGCTCACAGGAGCTGCTTCAGGAGAGCTTGTGTAAGTGATGTGGGCAACAGGTGGTGAGTTTAAGGTTGCTAAGACATTGATTGCATACAAATTAAAATGAATAATTTATCATTCTTTCACTTCAGATGATTTTTCAAAGATCATTCTAGAAATTACAAGTGATTACAAGCCACATAAAATGAGTAACTGTCAAAGTGATTTAGGAAAGCCATTCAAATACTGCAGAATGCTCTTAAGAAAATGCTGGAGTGGTCAGATGATTAGTTTACTCAAGTTCCATCCAGAGAAATGTCACATTCTGAAACTAGGAAGTAAGAAATCAGAGGCAAAATACACTACCGTCAACCGGGGCTACTCGGGACGGTTATGAGCGTTTTTTGTTAATAACTTCTTACCATGAAACATTTCATAAACAAGTTTAGGCTCATTTTATAGCTCTTTGCGAGGGCTATGAAATGGCATCTTCAAAAAAATTCCATATGTTATTCATAAGGTGCCAGAAGCAAAAAAAAGAGTGTCCCGAGTAGCCTCGTCGAACGGGGCTACTCGGGACACTAGGAATAAAACTTCATTTTAAAATATTTGAAGCGTGCAGAGTGTACTCATCCATTACTAACAGTACTCTGAAGTCCTCTTTCATTGTAGATGATGTAGAGGTAGAATAAATGACATTTTCTGTGATTTTCACTCATTTTTCCTTTATTGATATAATATTATCATATACAGCAATCCCTTGATTAGCACGGTTTTGAATACTGTAAAATGGGGTAACTTAGACCGGCGGGGTAACTTAGACCACTTTTTGTTTTTTTAACAAAAACCCCTACAACTCAAAAACTATTTGACATAGAAAAATTTTGTCAATGGGCATTAAAGGCCTAATACTGAGGCTACATAACACAATAGAAAGATTTGAAAAGTTTGCATATCTAATAGGTTGAAAAATTAAAAATGTGACCCATGAAAAAAAGCTATTATTTAAACCCTGTCAGAGTACCCCCTCCAATTTTTTTATTTTTTGGTTAAATAACTCCAGGTTTTGATTCATCGTAGTAGAACTCTTCTAGTTACATATGCAAATGACAAATTTTAGGATAGTGTCATAGTTTGCAAATGGGGGCGCCGCTCCCAAATGGGGTAACTTAGACCACCTTATGTCAGCCCTGACGGGGTAACATAGACCGGCTTGGAAGTTAATATAAAATTACCATATATAACATATTTTATGTTTGACAGCCTATTTATGTTTTTTCTTTATGTTTCAGACTCTACAGAGTCTTATATATGGTAATTTTAACTTAATTTGCAAGCCAGTCAATATTACCCCATCAGGGCTGCCATTAGGTAGTCACATTTCCCTCATTATGGGGCGGTGCCCCCCATTTGCAAACTATGACACTTTCTTCAAGTTTTTCATTTGCATATGTGACTAGGAGAGTTCTACTACAATGCACCAAAACCTGGAGTTATTTGGAGTTATTTTACCAAAAAATATAATTGATTTTACCACCCGGTCTAAGTTACCCCAAGAGCTGGGGTAACANCATGTTTCAATTCAAGTTTAATTTGGCTAGTAAAAAAATGGCATCATTTATTTAAAAAAAAGTGGTCTAAGTTACCCCATTTTACGGTACCGCGGTTTTGATTAACGCGGAAAAAAAATTTGCGACCTACCGTTAATCTACGCGGTGCCAGTTTTGATTAGCGTGACTTTTTTTCACAACGCATCATTTTCCCACCTCTAGCCAGAGGTGTTACGTTCGTAACAAATGTGTTACTTTTTGCTTATTAGATCTTATGTTGTTACCTTTGTTACAACTTTTGGAAAAATTTGCCAAATGTTACTTTATGAATTTCAGCCAATAATTCTTAAAAAAAGGTCCCGTTCCGTAGGCACTCGTGCTGACTACAGAGTTGGTTTAACCGCACCTTGTCTCGTTCATAACTCGAATGGTCAAGTTCGGCAACGTTTGCCGGTAAGTGCACCATGCCGGTGCTCTAGTTACTCGTTAGCCTTCAACTGGTTAAGATCGCTGCCATATCTACTGCTCACTTTTATCAAACTACACAATTTTCCTTGATAAATTACCGTCATAATTATGGACAAAAAGGGAACGCTTAAACGTAAAAATATCACTTTGGAGACTAAGCTTGAAATAATTAAGCGTTTTGATAATGGTGAAACGAAAACGAAGATCAGTGAAGACCTAGGGTTTCCTGAGTCAACAATACGCACAATTTTGGAAAAATTGTCCGAGTATCAAGAGAGAGGCAAAATTGATTCTACGTCGTACTGTGCAATTGAAATTGGATTCGTTTTTCAGTAAAAAATAAATGTTAATTCATTCGCATTTCTTTTATTTATTTCCCATATTATTTAGAAAAAAATATGATGAATTTTAGTGGAAAAAAATTATTATGTAACTTTGCTATTTTTGAGGATTCATTATAATTATTCCCATATATTCTTGCATTTGATTAGCGCGGTTTTGCTTAACATGGTAAAACTCAGGGATTTATTAACCGCGTTAATCAAGGGATTGCTGTACATTGATTACCGCATTATTGATGCAATAACCGCATTATTAATGCAATGTTACCGTATCCATGAGCATGCCATTGAGCATTTACAACAACCTTGTCCACTGCAAGCTTCATATCAGCAGCCTTATAGCATTTTTTCTGTATCTGTAAGCTTACAGGACCGCTCATAATTTCACACCATTTTTATTGGATTAAGTGAATTTACAATAAAAAAAATATCCTGAAAAACATACCTGAAACAGAAAGGAATGTCTTAGTGACAACCATCATATGTTTAGCAGAAATAAATCATAGTTTGGGTCAATTACTTTTAATTCTATGATGCCTGGTGCACAATTCTATACATGACATTCTATGCACAATTTTGTGATGACCAATGATGCACTAATTTTTTGATAAGTGAAATTTTTTAGCCAAGCAAGGTAAATGTAATCAATATTCTTTGTTTTTATTCAATTTTTTTTTCTTAACTGGAGCCTTTGCTTACTGAGGTTCTACTGTTAATGCGTTTTTGGGGGTGTCCCGAATAGCCCTGGGGGGGGTGTCCTGAGTAGCCCCGCCGTGCGGAAATGGCTGCCCTCTTTTTTTGATTGAGGTATGTAAATTCTGCAAATAAAGTTTTCAAGCCAACACCTGGGTGCAACTTTTATGTAAGTACAATTTTTTAATACGGCAAATATTTTTTACTACAGACCTTAGCAGAAGTAACTTTTCAAAATAGTGTTTTCCACCATTTTTTTCCAAGAATTTTTCAAAGCTAGTAAATGTAGGTTTTTTTGGACTTCCTTTATACTACATAGATAGGAAAAATGTTGACGTTTACACCACTATATTTAGTTTTGCAATATTCCAATTAGTTTTGCTCCTAAAACAGTTTTATGCCGTGTTGGAGGACTGTCCCGAGTTACCCCGCCAGTCCCAAGTAGCCCCAGTTGATGGTATGAAGGGAACAAAGGATAGGAAGTCATACACTGTACAGCTTCAGGAGAGCAAAGTTGAAAGGGGTCTGGGGGTCTTCATTGACAGCAGCTAGAATTTCAGGGAGCATGTGGCAAGAGTGAGGACAAAGGCAAACCAGGTGGTGGGGGTGATACGGCATAGCTTCAACTTCCTCAGCAAAGATTTGTTTGTTCAGCTTTACAACAGCCTTGTGAGGCCCATAGTTGAATAGAACATTCTGCCTGGCAGCCGTTTCACAAGACTATGTACCTAATGACATTATAGACCTTCAGAGACAGGGCACCAAGCTCCTCTCTTTGATCAAAC